AGAAAGAGAGAGAGAGAGAAATTCTGAAAGTTAGAGACTTTATTCCCTTAATTCTAAGTAAAAATAGACAAATTATGTATAGCAGTAATCTGTTGTACATAGTTTATCTGATAATGTTAATGAATTGTTTCAGGGTTGCTAGGGAAAGATAACATATATTTCAAATAAATAGAAATAAACTTCTTTTGAGTTTAAATGTAAAACACACTAAAAAATTTTTAGTGTCATGACTTTGTTGTTCTTGCATTTCAAAGAACAAGTCATATATTGAGTTGATCTTTATTTCAAGGCTCTTTTCTGGCTCAGTGTGTGAAATTTGTCTGTAAATATTCCTTTAGTGATGGTATAATTATGAAATTACAATTAATAAAAAAAGCTTCTTATTAAGACAACTGCTTGTAAATTTTCAATAATAATTGAGGTTGCATAACATTAGAATTCACTTATTTTATTTATGAATACTGTTATCAGTTTTTATTATTTTTATAAGAATTAACATACTCAAAACATAAGTTAAAACATACTTTTAACTTATGTTTTGAGTATGTTAATTCTTATAAAAATAATAAAAACTGGTAACAGTATTCATAAATAAAGTAAGTGAATTCTAATGTTATGCAACCTCAATTATTATTAAAAATTTACAAAACAGTTGTCTTAATAAGAAGCTTTATATTACTGCTTATTATAATCAATTTGGATAAATTATCATTATTTTCAGGTAAATAGGCAAAAGGCTGTTTTTAGTGCTGTTAGTCTTAACATGTAGCTGATAATATATAATCATTATCAGTTGTTATCACTCTTAACTAGTGTTTGAAACATTAAATTTTAATATTTAAAATTTGCTTGCATTACAGTAGTTTCAATTGCTATCATTTCTTGCTTCCATTATATGCTATCTGTTGTTAAAAATGGGACTGAAACAAAATAGCAAGTAAACAGCTCTGGCTGAATTATTATAGTTAATAAATTTTTTGTTTCAATGTTTTCTTTTAAGGTTATTCAATAAAAAAAAGTCAGAATTGTCCACTAATTATAGTGTTATTTACTTGCTTTGCTTAATATTGTTCCATTATTGTTATCAATAAAACCAGGTTCAAAAGTTATTAAATAAGCAAACTCAGCCACTGTAAGCAGATGTGCAGGGTGTGCACTGCATGCAAAGGCACTATCATCAAGGAGGACAACAATTGACATTCCTAATTAAGTGCCTGATTTGAATTGTGAAATAACAAAAAAAAGAGCAAAACATTTATGTTGAAAAAGTAAAATTGCAAATTTCAAGTATTAATGCTTGCATTATATATTTATAGTGTGTGGACTTACAGTATCGCACAGTCAAGTATGTGCAAAGATGGTGCATTTTCCCATCAAACAAAGAATAAACTTGTAAGGACTAGTATATAACGACATTGCTAGATGTTCATACTATTCGCCCTCATTTCAAATAAGTTTAGATGGTGATCAAAAACTAGGAATTTGCAGTATATTTTCACTAATTCATAAGGGTCAAAATAAATAGCATTTACATGCAGACATAAGATACCCTAGTGATAACATTAGACTCTACTGTATTTTCCATGTCTTGATCTAACTATAACAGTACAGTTTTTTCCTAGACAAGCCTCATCTATTCTAAAATAGAGATATGAATTTACTATCTGTGAAAAAGAAATTAAACAATTTATTATTGGGTAAAAGTTTACAATTGCTACATCACACAATTTTTTTCTTAATTGTTTTTTAAGAGATGTCATTAATAGATATGTCGTAAACAGATGGAATATTAAGAAAGAAACAAAAATTTTATTGTTAATTTATACATTAAAACAAACTATAAGCAATGAGGGTTTTTTTTGTAACTTTAAGTTTTATGTAATTTATTATTAATTATAAAATATTAAGTATCATAAAATTTTATTATACATGTAAATCTGGTGTCTGATTTTTATATATCCTTGTAACAAAATAAATTTGCATTAATATAAAACATAACTGATACAAAAAATAACTCTGATGATGATTTGGTTATAAAGTTTACTAATTTTTCTTTTCTTAAGTTTAACTTAAAAACTTTTATAGATTAGAAACTTTTATATGAATAAGAGACAAACACATTATATTGGGGTATGGTTACGGTGACCATATTTTTTGGAGGAAAATAAAGGACATATCGAAGAAAGAAAATTAAAAAAAAATACCTTATAAAATTCACAAGTTTATACACTATCCGGAACCTGTAACCGGTGTGTAATGCACGTATTCTGTATATCGCTGTTGACAAACGTTTTCGGCTATCTCTTTGCTCTTCTTCAGGTCGACTGGAATTCCCTGGACAGAGTGTATTCTATTTGTTGGAATCAGGTGTCATTCCGATGAAGTGGGTCCTTTCTGACATGCGCGGTCGTGGGGTGGAGGAGGAAGTTGCGGGTTGGCATCCAACAGTGATTGCCAGGCAGAGTCAGCTCTTCCTTCTGGTTAATGCACGTGGTTAGCTGGCCGGCGTTGTACATAGCTGTGGCCTCTAGCCACCTGAGATGCTCTTGGTGGGGCATGTTGATGATAACAGTAGCTTTATCGAACTTCGACTTTGTATGGGGGTAACTTGTTCAATATATTATTAAAAATTTTTTTAAACTTTGCGTCAAATTTACAAAATAAAGGACAAAATGCCTATTTTATAAAATAAATAAAGTTAGAGGACAGAGCAGCGAAATAAAGGACTGTCCTCTTAAATAAAGGACGTATGGTCACTGTAGGTATGGTGGATAATTGAGAGGTTATATTATTAAGCACCGGATTAGTGAGAGAGTACCATAACATAATTATATGATAGTTCTAAAGTGCTTAAAAATTTACAACTTATTTTAGATTATTCAGATTAGATGCAAAATCATCTAAGTTGAATGTTTTTGGATTTATTAATGGGACAAAAGCTTTACAACAGTTACATTCAAATTCTGCTCTAAATCAATCTTTTTCTATTTCTAAATCATGAACAAAAAAACAGATTAATTTAATTGTTAGTTGTTATGAAATGAATGATTGTGTCTTTCTCTAGTGATAGATTCGCATATTTATTATTTTTGAGGTATGACAGAATCTGTAAATATGCATATATCATAATTTGATTTAGCAGCTTTAGTTGTGCTTATAAAATCATACAAACACCTTTGTATGTTTTCAGCATTAACTTTATGTACTGAACAAACATTTCAGCCTGTAAATCAGGCCGAAATGTTTGTTCAATCTGTAAAGTTAATGCTGGAAACATACGAAAGGTATGTTTATTTGATTTTGTCCAAAAATTCCAGCCTTTAGAAGATAATTGTGCTTATAGATTATTTATTGTTAATTTCACAATTTTTCTTATTTTCCTATGTACACCGATTCCCGGGGAAGACTGGATAATTCAAATAAGCTTAATAATAATATCATTTGTAAATTTTTATTGTTTTATGTATTTAAGTATGTTCAGAGAAAAATACAAACTTATAATATTTTTCAAACAATAAATTCTTTTAATTTAAATTAATTTTAACAGCAAATTTTGATATATAGATATTGTATTTCTTCATATAAAATATTCCTTATTTTTGTGTTAGAGTATAAACATTAATTTTGAAATAAAAATTTATGGTATTTAATATAAACTTTTTTAAGTACATTATCATCATTAATAATTTAACAGCAAACAAACCTGTATTAATAATTATTATATATAATGGTATTTTATTTGATTTAAAATAAAATATTTTAAGTTAAACTATTTTAACAGCAAAAAAATAAAATAAAATTTTCAATGAGTAAATGTGAAAATATTTAAGTCCCAAATTGCTAGAAGATAATCCTAATAAGAGTGGTTAATTTTCCGACCCTGATATATTGGGCAATAAATTGAAAATAAGCATTTTGTTGTTTCAGTGACCTTTGGAACAACTACTATGAACAGTGAATCAAGATGATGAGAACAGACAGTGGATACATATATCCCAGCCTACCCGAACCAGAAACTTGCTTCCCCTCTATATAAAGGAGGTATATTTGGCCCATTATAGATGTGTCCTGCTTGCTGGAGATAGTAATGAAAAACTCTAGTAGGTGTTAGATTGGATTTGTTGTCCAATTGGAAAGATAAACTATCTTCAGTGAATTTTAGTGCCAGGATCTTGGTACAGAATTTTGTTCATTATTATGATGGTTTATTACTTCAATAAAGAAAAAAAAATAGTTTGTGGAATGATTTGTAATTAATATAGGCTTAGTTTTTCTCTCAAAAATTTAACAGTCGTCATTTCTTTGATTGGTTTCTTTCCCTCTCTGCTTTGACATATATAGTTTCCTCTGTTATCTTTATAACTAAACTAATTTAATTAAAATTAAATGGAGATTATTAGAATATAAATTTTTAAGAAAATAATCCTTTTCTCTACTTCTTATTCTAATAATCAGTTAGTTAATATTGATAGAAATCATGATTAGAAGATTATATCTGTTAGATACTCTATTCATTTCTTAAAGCTAAATATTAGAAATGGTGAATGTTGAAGTAAAGAAAAAGACAAACTTGATACTTCATTGGCTCCAAAATTATATCTAGTTGCTTCAAAATTTGTTGTCTTTTGTAGATGTGTTTTATCTCTCAGTAAAAAATCTGTTTGTCTCTCTTAGTAAAAATTATGCAGTTGGCAGTTATCCTGATTGTTTTGCATGTGTAGCAATTATATGCAAGATTTTAGGATAAAAATCAAAGATTAATTTCAAAAATAATTCAATGATTATAATTTTATTATATTAGTATTAAAATTATTTTACAATAATTTGATATTTGATGTAAAGTTCAGTTATAAATTAAAATGTAAAATGATTATAAATTTTCAAATTAACAACACTAATGGAAGCTAAATTTTTAAAAAATAATCTGGGAGCCATTTCTTTTAATAGAATTGAAAAAATTGTTTCACTTTTTTCTTAATTGCATTTTATAATAATTACAGGGAATTTTAGAAGCATTGGAATATTTGCTTGAAAAAGGCTTCAGACCTACTCGGTCGTTTTACTTAGCATTTGGTCATGATGAAGAGGTAAGCATAACGATGATATATTTTTAAGACAATTAATATTTTATTTAATATATTAGTTTCCTTAAGTAAATTTTTATATTATGGAAGTAGCCCACCAGTGGCTGAGTGAATAAAAACAACTAAACACTGGTAGTTTGTTGTGGGTTTGCACCTCACCAATGAATGAGCCGGCCACATGGAGTTTTCTGGGTTTTCTTTATGTTTGTAACACCTAAATAGTGGCCGGTTTTCCTTAGAAAGTTTATCCAGGAGGCATCTCCTTGGCAGATTGTCCGTGAGTCATATTGCTGTAACCAATTAAACCTGTGGAAGAATGGAAAATCATAAACAATATTATTTTTAATTTACTATTGCAGAAAACTAGAATTATTTATTATTAAATATTTTGTCTCAACTTGCTATTCAGATCTTTATTTGATAGATTTTTTATATACACAATCTCTTCAATGCTTAATTCACATAATCAAATTCTATTTACACTAAATTTTTATTCATATTTTATGTAGAGAAGTTATGGAATTTTTATAGATCCATAATATTATCATTTTTAAATAGTTAATGATTTGTTAAAGTACATTGTATAATATTAAAATGGTTAATAAAACATCATTATTCTAACCAATAATATATTTGTTTGGTATCATTTTAATCAAAAGCTCCAAAATAGTTTCCACTGTTATGAACTTTATATTCTTTACATTTTTGTACCTGCTTCTCATTTGAACTACATATACTTGGCATTAATCTAACATAAATTTTTATTCATCTATTGAAAAACAAGACTGGCGTAGCCAATTGACATATATGATATAAACATCTTTAATTTCTTAAGATCTAAATTAAAAAATCAGATACTCAAAATCCTAGCAATTAATTATATCAAGAAATAGTTTATGAAAGATAATTTGGCTTATAGCCAGAAATATTAAATGATGAGCAGAGTTCAGGTAATTGAGTTTATGTTTACATTAAAGATTATGTACTTTGTCAATTAAAATGAGTATAATTTTAGCTATATATTATATGAGATCTTGTTATTAATTACAAAAATGCCTCATTTTGTCAGTTTATAATAATTTGTTGTTCTTGTTGTATACTGTTTTTTAATAATCTAGAAATTTGTCTTCATCTAAATATTGTCTAGGTTGAAAAAAATATATAAACTGAAAATTGAAAGGACATTATTTTAAATATATTATTCTAGTATCATTACAATTATTTTGCTACATATTTTCTTTTTTATGTTAAAATTGTTTTAGTAGAATAAAATACAAAATGATAATTGAAAAAATTGTTCATTTATATTTTAAAATAATGACAACTTTTTATTTATTGCAAATATAAATATTTTTATTAAAATTAAATAATTTTTATGTAGGCATCCGGCTTTGATGGCGCTTCTCATATCAGTGCATTGTTGCAAGCTCGAAATGTTACACTGGAATATCTATTAGATGAAGGAATGATGGTTATTAATAATACTATTCCTGGATTAAATGTTCCTGTAGCTATGTAAGAATTTATATCAATCTAAAATTGAATTTTATATAAGTATGTATAGTTATAAATTGTATTCAGAAATTTTTTAAATTGTAAATAAAATCAAATTTCATTAATACAAAGAGGTCAAGGAATTGAGGTTTGCATTAAGCAAACTTTACAAAAATCAATAGTTATACCATCAAACAACAAAACCTAAAATTTATCCCAGTTATTTTACTGTATTATCTTGTTTGAATATGCTTAAAAATAAACAAACAAACCTATATGCTGCTCTAAACATTTAAGTTACTTTATTGAAATACAATGGCTTGAAAAAAGAATTAATGCTCATTTTTCGATATCAATTAGAGTTAGTAGAACAGTTATTAAAGCTATTGAAAATAACAGGTTGATCTAGCTGTCAAATTTAATCTGAAGCTGAATATACATAAAACCACAAGACCATAATACAGTTTGAATTATATATTTACTAATGTTTTATATTAACTGAACTTGTTAACGTTGAAATGCCTGTCCACATCCATGGGACTAAAAATCTACTTTGCATTAATATGAACTTTGTATAAATCACTAACATAATAATGGGGTTTGACTATTGAAATATTGAATCATTGGTTATTTGTTAAATTTTGATTGTTGTTGAAATTTTCACTTTAATTTATATTTAATTTGAAGAAAAAAACTACTATCGGAAACATGTATGGATGTATACAAAGCATTGAATACATATTACAGTCGACCCCCCTATAAGATAGAGATACGTTCCATTCTGTAGGAATCCGCTTTCTTATGAATCCTTCCAATCACAACCCGACACGTGTCAAGTTTACGGACTACGGCTGTTTGAAAGATTTTCTTCCATAAAATTAATCGATTCTAGACTAATCCGACTCAACATTTCCAAAATACGTATATATTTTTTGGGAATAATCCGTATAAACTACGCTATAAACAAAAAATTGTAGGATTACTTACCGAGTGTCACCATTCGACATTGCCATTGCTCAACATTGTTTTCGTCGCGGAACAGCTCAGCAAAGAGCGGCCGATTTCTAACAACTTATTTTTCTGTGAAAACTTCGTAGAACTTCGGAGACATCATTAATATAAATAATTTTAATCGCCGTTGAATAAGAAATGTTTCTTTCACAAGAAATGTATAAAATTACAGTACTGTATTAGACTTACGGTACCTAATTTACATACTGACAGACGATAGTTAGCGTAAAAATCTCCGTAGCGTGGCGCCACGCTAGACGGCGGAAATTATATATTTAATTATAACAAAGTTACAATAAGTTAATATATAATTATATATACAGTACCTAATTTATATATAATTAATATATAATTATATGTACAGTACCTAATTTATATATAATTTATATAATACTGTCCAGACGATAGAAATCTCTCCGTAGCGTGGCGCTACGGACGGCGGGAAAGTAGTTCGGCTTCCCGATGACGTTTGAGGTGTTTATAGGGAACTTTTACTATTTTTTACGGATACCGGTAGCAATTTTTTCGTAGTTTTATAGGAATCGTAACTATAGGGACCGTAATTATAGGGGGGTTGACTGTAATTCCAAACATTTACATAAAGAAATTGTAGCATAAAATGGTAAAAGAAATTTGACAGCTTCTCAAACAGTTTTCTATTCTTTGCTGTTTTTTCCTTTTAGCAAACATGCAAACTGGGAATGCATATACAGCTGAAAACAAGTTATTAATCTTCTTATCAGATAAGCAGCAAAATGACTTTTTCAGACCACACAATTTTTGTCTCAAATCAAATTTACTGTTTCAAGTATAATGATACTTTTATGTCTCTGATGAGTTTTATTAACAACTGAACTTGTTAATGATCAAGGTATGGCACAAGTTTGAAAACTTTTAGCTGGAATATTTTGTACATAAAAGTGTAATGTCTATAATGTGTAAATTTTTACATATTAAGTGTTTTTAATTATATCATTAATATTTCTAATAACATTTTTAATATTTTATTTAAAAATATAGTAGCTACAGCTGTCCCTTGATAATCCAACAGGTATGGGACCAAAGGGATGTCGGATTACCAAAAGTGTCCGGATTACCAAAAGTGATTACATATTTGGCATTTTTTTGCTAGCAGTGGCCTACAATATTCCTTACTCCAACTGTTTGAACAGAACTGCTCATGGAAAACACACAAAATGTGTGCCATCATGTAAGAATTGGGTGGGGAGATTCACGTCGCTACATGCTTCTGTGCAAGCAGACACGTAACAGGGACGGGTACCTTGACGGGAAGTGCGTCAGACTAGTGAGCATGTCGGATTACAAAATGTCGGACTATCAAGGGACAGCTGTATTTTGATTTGTATTTTACAAGATTGTCAAAACTTTACGTATTTTGCATATTTTTAATCTAAAATGTTACAAGATTTACACAATTAATGTATGATTAATTGTAATTTTGAAAGTGTTATTTTTGTTTTACATAAGTAAAATTGTTGAAAATGTATTTTTTTCAAATCTTTATTTTTATAAAATTTAATATTTGATTGAAATTAATCATGAATCATTCAAGAATATATCCATGGAAATGTTTATAAGTTTTGATTGTTATAAGTAATTTAATTTTTTAAAACCAAATTTCTTAATAATGAAAACGTATTATTATGTAAGAGAACATTGTGTACTAATGTATAATATAAATTTAACAGTTATAAAAAATTTTTATTCAATAAATTTAAGGGTTGGTGTGACTGAAAAAGGATATGCAACTTTAAAAGTTTCCCTTAGTGGACAGCCAGGACATTCTTCGTTACCACCTAAAGAAACAACTATAGTAATTTTAGCTAAATCAATTTCAAGGTAAATATATTTAATTTTTGTAAGTAAATCAAAAACTTATCTTATATACAGATCTGTTGGATAACTTTGATAAACTATACTAGAGATATATTTTACATTATGTTGCAAAAATTTTATTCTGTATATTAAATCTTACTCTATATTCTGGTACATAAATCAAACTTACATAAATCAACATACAGTATGAATGTTAGTTTCAAGTAAGAAAATACATGTAGATGAGAAATTATGTATTGTGACATTGTTACAATGTCAGGCTGCAATTTTTAATTTATTTAATTTAAAATATATTCTCTCTACCTTAAATTAGTATTAGCTTGCCCCTGTACATCATGCTTTTCCTTTAACAATAGAGTCATGTCTGTCATTGATTAACTGATTTTTAGGGAAAAGTTTTGAATTGAAATAACATTACTTCCAGTTTGCGTTGGAAGTTCATATATAGTTAATCTGGTCATCCTGTCCCTAAGATTTCCATATTTGGTCTTGTCTTTCATCTATTTAACTCTGTTCTCGAATTAAGGAAAGACATGATGGATGACAGTGGGAATTTATAGGTCTACAATTTTTTCAAATTATAGCCCAATGAACTTATAACTTTGATTGACCAATAACTTAGTGAGTTGTCACATCATAGATGCGCTCATTATATTTTGAAATCAGCAGTTTTAAATTTTCAAAATCTAAAAATTAAAAATGTAATTAATTTAAGCTCTGAAGTTGATTTGTCAATTTGCATTTAAGAATAAGCCCATTAAGTGCCAGAAACACTTAAAATTTTAAATTTTTTGTCTTGCAATCAGAAATATAATTCTATATAATACAGTGGGTGATCGGTTAACGAACATAATCCGTTCTAAGACTTTGTTCGTTAACTGATTATCGATTTACCATAGGTTTTTATGGGAATTTGATTAATTCATTCCAGAGACTCCAAAAAATAAAAAATATATNTTTTTTCATACGTAAATCAGTTATCCGAAATATCAGTTATCCGGACAACCCCAGTCCTCAATTGATTCGGAAAATCGACGCTCTACTGTATATTTAAAAAATATAATTGTTGAAATATTTAAGGGTACTATTGCAAATAATTAAAGTGATTAAATTTTAAATAGAAATAATTATGTATATATTATCTAGAATAATTTCTTATAAATATTTTCTAGGCATCTTTTCCATTTAAATTTGTTTATGCAAATATCTGGTTGTTTAGGCCAATTTTATCATGGTAAGAATTTATATATCTTAATAAATCATTTAATATTTATTAGTTTTTTAATTTATTTTGGAAAATCTTTTAAAAATAGGATTTTTAGTTTACAACCACATAGCAATAGTTTGGTTAGAACAACAACAGCTGTAACAATGATATCTGGAGGGATTAAAGTAAGGAAACAAGTTTTATTTCATACTTAATTGTTTGTTTACAGTCCACATTAAAAATTTATATGTATATTTTTGAAATGATGATATATATCACATTTTATTTAGTAATTAAAATTTACCTATAATTCTAGTTAATTCAGTTAATTATATTGTTCATTTTAAAAATTAATATATTCAATTTTAATTAGTCTAATGTTGTTCCTGGTGAAGCTTCTGCTATTGTAAATCATCGTGTACATCCTGCTGATTCAATTGAAGAGGTATGTTATCTTAGTAATGATTTTAAAACACTAATAGAATATTTAAAAATTTATCCTTAATTTTTTAAAAAATTAATTATGCATTGAATTTCCAGGTTATTGATCATGATAGGTATCTGCTAAATAATGACAATTTAGAAATTGAAATAATTGAATCTACCCCCCCACATCCAATATCACCATTTTCGAGTGATAGTTTTGGATACCAAACATTAAAATATAGTATTCGACAAATATATCCTGATTGTGCTGTTGTTCCCAGTAAGTAAATAATTTCATGGAAGTTTTTTCAATAAAGTTTATCTAATTCAGTGTTGTTAGAATTATTTTTTAAAACAATTATCATTACATTATAATAAATGTAAACATTTGCTAAAAGTTAATATTTAATTTAAAATTTATTTTATATTACTTTAATTCTCATTCATATTGAACCTCTGTCATTTTCTTGTTTTGTATCTTAGTCTTTTATGATTTTTATTTCAGCTAGAATTTGTTTGAAATTGATTAGTCTTACTTCCTGTTTCCACATTGTTTCATCTTGTCTACAATTCTTTATAGACTATCTAGAAATAAATACAATGCTAAGTTATGAAAACACTTGTAATTTATTTTTCTACTAAATTTTCAGTTACGCATTCTCTGTAGCAGTAACAAATATTTATTATCCTGATATACAGGATACTTCAAAAAAAATATTAACTGTGAGCCTTCATATAAATGTAGTAGGGCTGTACTTCTTATGAATGTTACAGAAGGGTGGTGACTACTTGCACATGGTGGAGAACTATTCAGAGGACAGCCTGGCATACAAATTCAGCATAACAGTGTTAATATTTTTGAACATCCTATATATCAGCATGACACAGTCTGACTGGAACGCTTTTGGTTAACTGATATTTCGGTTGATCTATTTTCGGATAAATGACGCTCTATTGTATTATCTATTCCCTTGAAAATGCAAAAGAAAGTGCACAAAATTAGACAAAAAGTAAAGTCTCTATAGTAAAACTTGTAAAGTTGATCTCAAAATTATTTCAATTTACAGAAATGTAGCATGCATTGAGTTTATGGATGTCCTGACCAAAAATAAAATTTGAATTGAGAAAGTTTTTCTTATTGAGAGTACTGTATTATGATAAATTATTTTGAAAATAAATCATTTATAGGTTTTTTGAGTTATTTGGTAACTTCTAATTATGCTTTTAGGTATCAAATTTTTTCATTACTGTTAAAATAATTAATTTGGAATTCTTGATTTTACAGGTTATTAGGAACATCTCATCCTAGTATGTTTGGAAAAGGACCCGAAAAGGATATGCTAGAAGCTGCTGCACCTTATGTAAGTTTAAATACATAATAGTAATAAACATGATGTAAAATTAGGTTTTCCTTTGTTTAACAATTGTAATGTTTTTGATCATGCTTGTGATCGCTAGCAGTTGGCTTTTTTAGGGCTATATTACTAACATCAATTTTTCTCATTATAAATGAAATGAATAAATTCCACAATTCACTGGTGGGTTAAGATAAATTTTATTGCTCATTCCTTATCACCATTCTATGGTGAGAATAATGAAATTAATGGATGAGTAATGCAAAATGGAATTGTCTTGACATATTCTCACTGCAGAAGACTTTATTTTAAGTCTGTCTTGCTGATAGTCTTGAAAAAAGAATTTATATAATTAACTTACCATTATTTTTTAGTTTTAAATAATTTTTAATGAACAGTTATAAATGTAATCTCTAACTTTTACTAAAATTATTAATATGTGATCTAAAAATTATAATACAGTAGAGCATCGATTTTCCGAAAGTCAATCATCCGAAACATCAATCATCCGAAAGAATTCCAGTCGGCAAATTTAAATTTTCGCCAGTGCTGTGGCGCTTCAATNAAATATTTCTTTTATTGCTGAAAAGGAAAGAAATTTGATAGTTGAAGATAAAAATATTGAGGAACATAATTTAGAAATTCTCACTGAAGAGAAAATTTCAGAAATGAAGACAATAAATCAACTTCCTGAATCCAGTATGATAAATACTGTAGATGACAATTTGAAAAAAGAAAATGAACTATTACGAAAGGAAATAGTTTCTCTTAATCAAGAAACAACAAGTTTATTGCATAGAAATAAAGACATTGAAGCAGGTAAGAAAAAATGAATTTTGTGATTTCATTTTAAAGTTCTATTTGTCATAACATGATTTTAAAATTAGGTAATAAAATTTATTATAATAAATTAATTTTATCAGTATTAATATTTATGTAATATGCATATACATAATTAATTAGAATTTAGTTTTTATTTTATTTCATTACATAAATTCATTTATAAGAGTAAAAAGAAAAGAGTAATGCCAAAATTTATAGTTTGAAAATTATTTCATATTATTTTTATAATAAAATTGAACTATAAATACAAACATTGCTTGATTAATATTAAAAAGATTTTGATTTCTATTATAATAAAAATCAAAACATTTATAAAAGCATCAAATCAAATATGAAAAGTGAATTAGCTATGACTACTCTTTTATAATTATTTGATTTTTTAGAATTATTTGGAACAATAATTAAATTTTTATTGTTTTCTTTTATATAAATTAATTTTAAAATTATACTTTTGTTTTCTAGCTATCATGGTTGCTAATACAGATAGTAAATGGTATTTACCATTAACAAAGGCCATCTATAGATTTTCTCCAGTGAATATCCGTACAGAAGATACTGCACGCCTTCATGGAAACAATGAGCGCATTTCAATAAAAAATTACGAGCAAGTGGTAAATTTCTACTATCACTTGATTATTAATTCTAATGGGAACAAATTGGCTTTTCAACAACACACCCACCAAGAACTTTAAAATGTGTGATATGTTTTTAAAAAATATATATATTATATATAAAACACAGAATTTGTATAATTTGAAATATACATATATGATGATTTTTTTTTTCCTTCAATGAATACAAAAAATAATGCATTATTTGGAAGGACTGCATAACTTTTATGCACTTTTAGTACTTTTCACACATTTATACAGTTCTCAACTTCTGATGTATGTTTATTAAGATCAAGTAAATTTAATAGTTGTTTGCATAAGAATTTGAAATAATTTTTTGAGAACAAATTGACTAAGTTTTCTTTTTTCGTGTATTTTTTTAAAAATTTTATTACGTAGCTTAAGATCAAATTGTTTGTTTAAAAATTTCTAACTGTTATATTATATTTGCAAGAAAAAAAAAAAAAGAAAGAAAAAATACAAAATGTTTTTTATTAGCCTCCTTAAATATTGTTACGATAGGAAGTATTAATAATGTATTTTTAATAAATACGTTGCCAACAAAAAAAAGAAAGAATTTGAATAGACAAAAAATACAACTGACTAATTTCACCTGATACTAAATGTTATAGTTCCCACAGATTAAACAAACATGTCAAAATACTTAGTTGATCGAAGTTAAGTTACACATCCTCTCAGATATTTTTCCCACTATTAGCACAATACCTCAATACCGAATGCTTAGATATGTCCATCAAGCAACAACTAATCCTCAAGAAATATTGTTTGGCACCATATGATTTAGAAATCACAAAAAATTATCAGTTAGTGAAACTGTACATGTAAACATACTGTGTATATATATTTATATATATAATTCTGGTTGTGTAATGCTTGCTACCCACATTTAGTGGGAAGAATGTTAATCTCCTTTGTTAACTGATTATAAATGCTGATTTATTAAGGGTTGTATTATAATAATATAATTGTAAATACTGTACTGAATTTTTCATAGAAAATTAGTATATTGACACTAAAAATTGTAAATATATATATGTATATATGTATTATTTATATACATATATATATAATCATCAAAATTGTGTACAAAGGGAATATTTCCAGCATTGGATTATACAATAATCCACACTTGGACTATCATTTGTTTATAAATTGTATTTAAACAAATTTATTTTCTTATTGTGATAAGAATTTTTCTGCAATATTACATGTAGTAATAAATTTTAAAATTTAGTGATTAAAAATACTTATTTATGTTTAGTTATAAATAAATTTTATTTTTGGATAAGTATATTATAAGTAACTGTATAACTGATAATTGTATAAATGTGGGATTTACATATTGTTTTATAATTATCTCACCCAATTTTGATTTAAATAATGAAAGCTTATTGAAAAAAACGTTTTGGATTAAGTTACTTATATTTAAATGATAAATCTCATTTAAATATTCTTTTCTTTAAGAATATATAGGGTCAAGAAACAGTGAACAAAACATGACATAATTTTTTATCTTTAGCAATACTTATTTGAACTTCTTATTAACATTGATAAACAAAACCAAATTTAAAGAATATAGTCACTTAATTATTAAATTTTCCTAATAAAACAAGCAGTAGGAGTATCTTTTATCATAGAAGTGTATCATTAGAAAACGAAATACAAATTATTTTGTAATTCATTTTCTAAAACAGTAATCTAATAATTATGGCTGAATTGTTTAAGGCAGGCCTGACCAACCCAAATTGTTTTGCGGGCCACTTTGATCACGCATAACATTACAGTGGGCCACAATTTAGGCAAACATGCTTTTAAAAAAGTAAAAGAAATACAAAATGAATAAGATTTTATTGTTATAACAAGAATTCATACTTGCACTTGCGCATTATAACAATGACACATGCAAATTTTCATTTATTTGTTTTGGTGTAGACATAACGTGAAACAACAGTTTTAGTAGACATATAATATCGCTTAGCGAGCCACACAATTTAACATGACAGGCCACGGGTTGGCCATGCCTGGTTTAAGGCATCGTTTAACAACTCCAGGAACCTGAATCAAATTTGGGGCAAGCAACGCCTCAGGAATTTCTCGTGGTCAGTCCTGTATATGTAGAACCCCATATCTTGTCACCCAACCACCCCACTGTTGGCCTAATTGAACCACAATAGGTATGAGAAAAAGACACTCTTAGTGCACACTGGATAGTATAGTTTTCTATTTTCAATAATTTAATAGGAGCAGAACAAAGTATTTAGTATGCTTTTTAATTTATTTATCATTAAACCAATTTAAAATATTTGATTTTTAATAATAGCAACTAATTTTCATTACAATTAAGTACTAATTTCAGCAATGAAACCAAATGATAAAAACATGAATTTAGCAAATTGTAATAAATATTTTAGGCAATATCCATTACAAATATTGAATGGGTTGACTAAATAATCAGCTATATACTTGAAATTATAAATACAGTCAAATCTCTGAATAATGGCGGCTGTTTAGAAGTGCTCGTTATTGAAGGTTCGACTGTATATACCAAATGAAATTATTACATTAGCCCTTAAATATTAATATAAATTCGGTATAGAAAAGAGAGTATATTTTACAACATTTTAGTCTTATAAAAAATTATTTAACACTGTTAAAAAAAGTAACATTAGCTTACTCTTAAATAATTGCAATTCTTTTATTTTACTTCTATATTTATGGAATGCGAAACAAACTAAGGAAATTCAGTAGAAATAGAACTTCCGAATTCCTAACACGCAATTTATACCAGGGAATGAAAATAGAAAATTTAAGATTCTATGGTATTATGGATGGATCTAACAAAAGAGACCATATAGAGAATGGATTGATGACGTGAAGAAGTGGTGTGGAGCGAATGTACAGGAATTGAGAAACTTTGCAATGGATAGAGATAAATGGAAGGAAATAGTGGAAAAGATACCAGACACCATCGGGCAATGAATCCAGGGTTATGATGAATTTTTGCAATCGACAAAAGATCTCATTTCGTTCATACTTGAAATAAATCTACTAACACTGGACAACAATGATTTTGTTTCGGGCTCAAAATTAGCATATTCTTATGTATTTTCATCTTCTGAATTCAAAAATCACTATAAAAATGACCGATTAACTTGCTTTGGAGCAGTGGTCCGCAATTGTTAAAATATGGTCCGCGAAAGATTTAAAACTTTTATTCATTTTAAATTATAATTTTAAAATGATTGACGTAATCTAAACAATACAAAATATATGAGAAAGGTTTTATAGTAAAATTTGTAAAAAAAAAAAAGTTTCATTACAAAATAGTGCATCTGCAATTATTTCAAATTTTCGTTGGCGTTTTTCCTGTAAAACTTCAGATCAGCATATAATAAAACTACACGCTATTATAGAATATATATTTATGCAAACACGAGAGCCCTCCTCGACTCAATTATGCTGAGCATAAGTGGAAAATATGTGGCGATCTAAAAGTCATCGCTGTACTTTTAGCTAAGAATGCAACTGGGGTACACTAAATACTGTTGCTTTTTATCTATGTGGGACAGTAGGGATAGGAAATCATATTACATTCAAGCGGACTGGCATGCAAGAAATCTTGACTCTACCGAGAAAAATATCGTTGCCGAGCCTCTCATGGATCTAAAAGATGTTCTTCCACCCCTTCATATCAAGCTGGGTGTAATGAAAACTTTTGTCAAAGGTATGAACTAGAAAGGACAGGCATTTAAGTACTTAAGAGACAAATTTCCTAGATTGAGTTATGCAAAGATTAAGGAAGGTATTTTTGTTGGGCCACAAATTCGAAAACTTGTAAAGGATCCTGCGTTTGACCAAGTTTTGGAGGGAAAAGAAAAGGAAGCTTGGGAAGCTTTAAAGGGAGTTATTCGGGGATTCTTAGGCAACAAAAGAGACGATAACTACAATCAGTCGGTGACAATACTTCTGGAAAAATATCATCAACTCGGATGCAACATCTCCCTCAAAATCCACTTTCTCCATTCCCACCTAGACTTTTTCCTTCCTAGTTGTGGAGCTGTCAGTGATGAACATGGGGAAAGATACCACCAGGATATTTCTGTACTGGAACAAAGACATCAGGGCCATTGGAATGAAGCAATGCTTGCGGATTACTGCTGGTCTGTGTGTAGGGATGCACCAGAACTCACTCACAAGAGGCAAGCCAAAAGAAAACGATCTCATGAAGTCACCACATGATTCTCTTCACACCAAACGACCTGCCTGGTATTCTTCTATTAATTTAGAACTCTTAGAATGTTACTGTAATTTTAAAAAAATTCAAAGGCACTTTCAATGTTGTTAGCATATGTAATTAAAATGTATTGTTTTCTCTTATGCTGTTAAAATCACCTCATGTATACTACAGAAACTAGAGCTAATAAAAATTTTTCTTTGTCATAATCAATTTTCTCACCCCAAAATTAGTAAGATTTCACTCATGAAATAAAGGAAACATTCAAAAACACTTTTTTGTTGTCTAGTGTAATATAATATATATATAATATAGGTATTTTCGGTTGCCAGTGGTGCTAAAATTTTCAATTTGAGGGTCAAATTGCGCATAAGTCATAGGTAGGTGGGCTACAGCTATATCGTATATCACATATAAATAGGTCTATTTCCATCATAAGTGATGTGCCAAATATGTTTGCGGGCCATTGTATTGACACTTCTGCGTTAGGCCATAGAAAAGTATTTTTCGAGAACTCTTGGTTTATAATAGTAATTCACATTAAGGGTAATGCCGTTCTTAATTTACTGTGTACATATAGCACGGTGCCTGGTAAAACAGCCTTAATACAGTTAGACGAGCAAAAATTTTTAATCATATTTTTAACTTTAATTTAAAATATATGCTCTCGATCTCAAATTAGTAATGGCTTGCCCTTGTACATCATACTTTTTCTTTAATAATAGATGACTGGCACCACTGTATTAACTGCTTCCAGTTTTATGTGTAAATAAAAGCAGGGAAAATAAAATTGAAATAATAGAAGAAAAAGTAGTAGTATATTCTCTCCGATGTAATTGTGGACAAAGAAAAACGTAAATAGGTGAAATAAAAACTTAAAATACGTATAAAGGAACATAGAGCAATTAAACGAAATTATGCAAATTCAGCAGTAGTCGAGCATTGCAACAATGAAGGATGTGAAATTAAATACAGTAAAAATAAAGAAATGGATTTTAAAGACAATTATTTGAACACACTTATATAAAATAAACAAGATAATAGAATTAATAATAATTTAAGAAGAGAAATTCGTAATGGATAGAAAGTACTTAAAGCAGAAGTAAAAGTGGAAAAATAACACCTCCATATGGACTGATAAGAAGGAAATAATATGAAAATGGTGTATTAACATTGAACAATAAAGAAAATGTAATTTTATCTGATCTTAGTTATTATTATCGGGTATAATATCATTGCTTTAAAAAGCTTTTTATACAATTGTTATAGAACGTAAACCTTCTGAAGTGGTGTCTTCAAGTTCGAAACAGCGTGTACAGGTGAAAATAAAGATACTGTTTTGGCTTTTACCAGTTTAATAAGTCCAATTAATAAACAAGGTTCAAATGGATGATATATATACAGAAATGTAATAAATTTCACTGAAAAGATTGTTCAGAAATTTTCTTTTTATTACATTCTCCATTAACATCTTATTGACAGAGTGGGCGTTTCTGTAATTAACTACTCTAACTGAATGTAATAGTTCATCTTCTCAAAAGATATATATTTATCATATAAGCTTACAGTATTGTATGTTCTACAACGGGGTAGTTTCGTCTTGAAAATTTTCTTTCTGGAGCCATCCCTCATCATCCAGCTGCTCCAAAATGGGCTTGGCCAAACCAACTACGGCTATGCAAAAAAAGGCTCGTTTAGTGCCTTAATGGAAGAAAAGATTAAAAATGAAAAAAATGATATATTTGGGTGAACTTTTTCACGAAAGTTACCGCGCAGACTTAACACCAATCTCCAGAGCTGATGCAAAAGTTTGCATTTTTTAAATGCAAATTACCAAAAGAAATTTTAATATTCTCTTTATTTTTATTTTTTAATATGAAAAATTAATACATTATTCATTTAATTTGAATAGTCGAATCTCTGGCAGAGAAAAAAAAATTATTTTTGCTAATAATAGAAATAAAAGCTGACGTCAAGACTTAACAATAGTAATGATCTTATTATTAACAACAATAATGTATTAGTTTTCTCTGAAGATTTTACTACATTTGATTAAGAATGCAAAGTTTTATCGTAGTTTAATTTAAAAAAAAAGAAACATTTCGAACTTTTAAAATTCCTACGTCGATAAGAAGAAATGCAAATCTTCGTCAAGTTACTGAATGGTAAAATTAAAGTCTTTAATATGAACGAAAATGACACCGTGGAAGACTTGAAAATTAAAATAATGGAAATTGCAGGGATTCCTACGAAAGAACAACGATTGATATATAATTGTAAAGAATTACGAAATAATAGACTGTTGTTGGATTATAACGTCGTCGATTATTGCACCATTCAACTATTGTTGAGATTGAGAGGAGGAATGAAAATATTTGTGAAGAATCTCCTGAATGCATTGGTACCGATCGAGGTAGAGTTTAACGATAACATTAAAAATATTAAAGTGAAAATATACGAATTGGAACAAATTCCTCCGGAAAATCAAAAATTGCTCTTTGGACAAAAAGAACTGCTAGACGAAGAAAAAATTTCCGATTGCAACATCAATGATGAATCGGTTCTCACATTAGTGTTTACTCTCTAAACTGGATTTATTTTAAAACTTTATTGACATTTTATATTTATAATGAAAAAAAATATATATTATTAATTAATCTTGACAAAAAAAAGTGATTTTTTTCAACTTTTATAAATTTATCTTTATTTTTCTTCTTAATAAATTTTTATATTTAACATTCCCAAATGGGGATTCTAGATTCAATTTTACACTACATTCCTTTACGATTCTAAGCTATAAGTTAAAATATATATATATAATTCTCCGTTGTGAGGGCATTTAGAGAGCCTTTTTAGCAAGCCCACAATGAGAAGTCGGATGATGATAGAAGGGGCGACACATCCGGAAGGACGGACCACCCCCGAAAAATTCTTGTAGTGACTAGCAGTAGCTTACAAGAATTGATTCTTTCTTCTAATGAAAAACTTTTAAGCCAAATGACATCTATTAGGGAATAATGGCTAACGTCTAACTTAGTATATAAAGCAGATTTTTTTCAATCAATTCGTAATAGAAACAACATTGGCATGTAAAATACCAGGATCTGATTGCCTAAGTGGTGGGTTATGCTTTTTAATTAAAAAGAATCTTGGTACAAGTGCTTCATATGGAAAATCTGATAATTGTATACTATTATTAATATCTATGAAAGTATTTATATGATATTTGGAAGTGAAAACAACAAATTAATTATGGTGATGATTACCTATATTCCACCTGATTCTTTGGGAAATTTATGTAACTTATATCATTATAGATGTCTGGAAATATTTAATAATTTGTCACAGGATTGTCAAGGATTAATAAGTTTATGCGATTCATTTAATATTAAATAAGTAAGATTTATATAAACAATATAATTGCTTCATCAAGACCACAGAAATGTAACTTAATAATTTTATTGTTTGATAAATTGTAAAGGTTATTTTTTCTGTATTATTAACCTTGTTATTATCTGGCATTGTAATTAATGACATAATTAAGATTATTACTTATACTTGTAACCTTAAAAATTTTTTGTAACTTTTTCTCTATTAAATGTATACTGTACCACCCCTCTAACAGGGAAAGTATCCCTTTTTGTGAATAAACTATTATTATTATATTTAAACACTTCATTAACGTTAGATTTGAATGAAAAGATAAATAAAAATATTAATTTTAATTCAATAGGAAAAAAGAATGTAAATTATTGTTAAGTTATGGCAACGCAATACTTGGGCGATCTGCCTAGGGGGATGCCTTATATATATTATATTACAGTATTTTTTAACATTAATAGAGTAAATTCGTATTTTCTAAATTATTTAACACTGATATAAAGGTAAATTTTCTGCTGTTCTGCTGTTCTTTCTGTATTTGTTCATCTATGTCTATACATGTCTATAGTGAGATATTTCATAGTTTTATATTAAGTTATGTATAAAGAATATATTTCAACCGTTTGTTTTTATATATATAAATAAGTTTGTGCGCTGGACATCTGTAAATTTCATTTATATAATTTTATTTATTAAAAAAACATTATCTTTAAAAAGTTAAAATAATCCTGTTTCTAAATAAATATTATCGTAATAAAATAATTCTTTATGAAATATTTCAAACCGATTAATGTATTTACGTAACACGTGACGTAGAAACACGATGCGATTGTTGTTACGCGTTGTTAAAAATATATTCTAACAATACCTAATGAATTGTTACAATGTATTGTTCGTTTCTATTGTAGGTGACCATTGTAAAGACAGGCCACGCCGAGGAAAGGCGGAGAAGGCTCTCTGTATCCCGAATCTTTAAGGCTTGCTCGGGTGAAGACAGGAGATGTCGAAGAAGCGCGGAGAAGGCTTTTTGTGTTCCGCTTTATTAAATTTTGCGCGTGGCGAGTATTTTTTGTTTTTTTATTGAGGTTCGGCATGAGTTTGAAGTAAATTTTGTGGCCCTAACGTGCGTTTTATTACGACCTGGTATCGTAGTGGGTTAATTTGTTAATTTATTAATAATTTGTTAATAATTAATTTATTTATTTATTTATTTTATCTTACTTATTTCATCATCTGCATTTATTTCTGTATTACTTCTTAATTTAATATTCACTTAATATTGTATAGGGGAGACCGGGGCAACTTCGGCATGCGGGGCAAGTTTGTCAAGCGCTTTTTTTTAAAAACAAATTAAAAGGAGACTTTGGTTATAGGTTAGGCAGTTGAGTTTTATTGGTGGCTCGTTGAGTGTAGTGTTTTTATTGTTCTCCAACAAGCGTAGTTGAATTATCAAGCAAATTTTCATTTTCGTTCAATTCCATATAATATTTTTTTTCCATTTATATTGAATTGGCAGGTTTTGTTATAATTCCATGATAACGAAAGTTACTTTTCCTGTTAGAAGGATGTAACTTCAACTTATTCACGTGGCCAGATCGTGGCTTGGCATTCTGTTCTCAGGGTTGTACTTAATGTTTCGAAATCATGACTAGCGGGGTAAGATCGGCAACATAAAGCCACATTAGAAGCAAAGGATAAAAATCAAACAGATGATAAATGAAAACATGTTTGCATTTGTTATTCATGTATATATGTCTTTGAACTTGCATTTCGTTGTAATAATATTAAATGGGTGTTGGATTTGTATTTCTTTGTTTTAATAGTGAATTCCAACTTATACATTGTTAATAACATAATTTTATATACGTGCCTATCTTGCCCCATTACTGTTGCCCCTATACCAGGGGCAACTTTAATAAAAATAATTAAAATAATTACAACTTTACAAAAAGAGAGAAGTTGCCGATCTTGCCCCTATACCCGGGGCAACTTCGTCAATTTCTCTCTTCTTGTAAAGTTGTAATTATTTTAATTATTTTTATTTCCAAACTGATTTTAACCAGTTCTATAGTAAGGTAACATTCCAATAGACAATATGCAAAGCTTTTTTTTCCAGTTTACAGCAGTATTTATTACACAAAATTTAAGTAAAGTTTAACATGCCGATCTTGCCCCGGTCTCCCCTATATACTCTATCCCTGGTAATGCGTGTAGCGGGACCAGGGAATGTACAATTATTTTTGTACCAATAAAACAAAATGAATGAATGAATGAATGAATCGTAGTGGGTTTCTTTCTTTCATTATTACTAGTTGTTGTAATATTACATCCATTAGTTTAGATAGTAACAATGCGGCGAGTTTCGAATAGTAGAATTTGAAGTATTTAGAGAAAATTATAAATATTTTCATTGTGTGAGTTAGGACGAATGAAACTCGACAAGTGATGTCAGTCGCTTATACAGTTGCATTCTTTCCAACTCTTGGTGGAACTCTGAAGTAGCCACTTCCACGTGGTGAGTTCTGGGTTGTCGTTCGTCTGCAAATGACGAAGGGCAAGCGAAGAGCTGCTTGTTTCTTTTAATTGATAATAAGGAATGAAAGACAACGTGTCAATAAAAACAGAAATTACAAAAGTAATTAAAGTTAGGAGAAATAAGTATCTAACTTTGGTATAAATCGCTTTAAATTTTGTCTAAGTGTTAATTCCTTTGTTTTAATCGTGATGATGAATTTCAATTCATCCTAGTTCTGAATTATATGTCTAAAATATAATGTTTGTTAGTTTTATATTAAAAAGAATATAATGAAACCGTTCGTTTTTATATATATGTTACTGTTATATACAATAATAGTAAGACCTCGTTTAGCGCTTTAGATGACAAAGCGGTAAATGAAACAGCGTTAATGTTAAGGCGGATTACATTTGAAGATTATAAAAAGGTCGGGTGGGCCGTAATTCCTTACTTAGGTCATAAAAAAAACTAATTCTTGTTGGTTTGTCCTTAAATCTTTATTACATTCATAATCTTTGTTCCAGATTTGCATTAGTTAATACTGTATATACATAAGCCACTATTAATTTGAGGTGGAGAGCATATATTTTAAATTAAATAAATTAAAAATTGTGATTAAGTCACAATAAATTATTGCTCGTTATTGTTATTATTATTATTATTTTTTTTGTTGAAAAAATATGTTACACCACACTTATCTTCATTACTGTCCATCTTAAATACATCAGGGGCCATATTCTGGTCATTGTCTCTGGTCTCTTATCTCTCGCAAGCCGGTCGCTTATTGGCTAATCCAAATGATTAGCCAATCAGCGACCGGCTTGCGAGAGACAAGAGACTAGAGACAGTGACATGAATACGGCCTCAGGTTTGGTTAGCGGTACAGAATGATAGAATAAATTGTTCGCAGAATATGCTTAAAATTTCCCACATAATTCTAGAATAATTGTAGGGAAATAAGTTTCTTAATAGGCACTTTATTTCCCTACCATAATGAGAAAATTGTAAATACACTAATTAAAGAATTCCGTACAATAGCGATATACACGGTTTTGTTCATCTAGTTTATAGCTTAATAACATCTGTGCTTTTCGACAGAATTTTCTGAAATTTTTCAGGGAGGTTTGAATATTAGGAGAATTGATTCTATTAAATTTTGGTGGTTTTATGTCGACGGGGTGGGGAAATAAAAGAAGTTGTATGTCATATCTCGAGTAGGATCGGAATTAACAACGACTTTTATTATCATTTATATATTTTTTTTATAAAACTCACCCCTACTCTCAAAATTAAGCTTATTTGCCATTTTATAATAATTAATAATATCATTTAAAAATAATAATAATAAAATATCATAATAGATGGCGTCACACACAATTTTAACTTTTTTTTGCCGTGAAAGTTACGCGAAACTCCTTGCTGGAATTTTTTTTAAATATTTGCTATTGAATCTTACGATTTTTCTTGTAAAAATTACTTTTTCTTACATTTCTGTTATTTTCATTAAAATTCTTTTACATTTTTTATTGGTTAAAACGGTGCTCCGACCTTGTTTAGACAGCGTTTAAATATAAATTATCCTCAGTCCATCGATTAGGAGAAGCTGGAGTTTTTCCCCTGATCAGGAGAAAATTCAAGGGTTCGTGGCGATTTCTATCCGTATAAAATTAACTTTATTCTTACTAATAGAA